AAGGAATGCAGTGAAGGTGAAAGAATTTTAATCGCCACCTAAAGACTTCAGCAGGTTAAGTCCAGGAAGTTAACCTGCCTGCTTCTTCCCAGCCTGGCTTATTTAACACCATGCCATCTGGATGTCTGAGAAACAAGAGGCTGCTTGCTCTCTCTTCAGTACTGCACAGAATAATTTCTGCTGAGGGCACAGTTTAGATTGCCCCCAGCAGAGCATTACTGTGCTGCTATCCTGTACTGCTTTTTTGAGTTTATCCATTCTTCCAACAACTCCTCTGACAACCTGCAAAGCACCCCTTGCACCCTCAGACCTCAAAGCAGGGCACAGGCCCTCATGCTTCACATGAGCAGCAGCCCACCTTGCTTTGAGGTCTCAGAAAATGAGATTCAGCCAGCTGCCTGCTTGATAAACGCTACACTGTTAGATGAGAAAAGTCTCCTGCTCAATGTAAGACCAAGTTTCCAAGCATAATCTGCTCCTATTTGCTCTGTGACTGTATCTGACTGAAGCCTCCTGTTTGCACAAAAGGCCATCCCTGACCAAGGCTTTCAGGAAAACTGCTGCATCATTTCATAACAAGAGAGGCAAATCCAAGACAAACACGTGGAGCAAGGGCGGGACCAAGGCTGGACAGCTTATTTGAGCAAAGCAGGCTCCTCCCTTCCAAGCTCAAACATGTTCCCAAGCCCTCCTTCCAAGGCTCCCCTTCTTCCAGGCTGAGCCACCGTATGCTCAAGTGCCCTGACCTGGCAGCACAAAGACACCAGCTCCCACAGGGAGAAACACAGAGGTCCACGACAGGGACCAAACCTTGGACCTCCCTCTATCCTCAGGCCCTGCTGGAACGATGAATCCTATTGCTTTGCACTCACCTCCAGTTGTACGAGGCTTAGATCCCAGCTGGTTCGAACAGGGAGTCCCCGGCTCTGCCCCAGTGCTGGCTGCACGGCACCTAAAGAGCTCAGCAGGGTCAAGTGGCTCAGAGTAACACTACAGTCACAGACAGATGGGAGACATCATCAAGCCGAGATTATAAAAGGAGAACAGACAGCGCAAAAACTTGCTGCAGCTGTCGTGGAAACATCTTGTTTTATTTAATCGCTACCCCAGGAATCCCCAATCCCATCACAACCTCCCCCACCCTCAACATCCAACAGGATTTCACAAGTCCTCCGTCGCCTCCAATGTTTAGGCTCCCCTCCCCCTTTAGGGTCCAAGTATTTGCAGAGAAGCTCCAGTCAGTGGGTATCATCTGTGAGATGGCTCCAGGGGCCATCCTGGGTCCCAGCGGTGTCCAGCTGGGTCTCAGAGGAGGGGAAGGAGGACTTGCTCCTTTACTCAATCAGTTTCTTGGCCTTGAAGAAGCGACGTAGGTAGAAAACCTGCCAGGTGGCCAGTCCGATGAGGCAGCACATGGAGAAAATGCTGAAGTACAAAACCCGGGTGTTTGTCGACTCTGAAACAGAAAACAAACCATTGCACAGGAGTCTGACATCACAGGATGTGCCTCTAGAGGGCAAAGTTCCCAGGATTTTCTCTCCCTACCCGTGCAAAACTTGAAAGGCAAGATATCATACAGCATGAAGGCAAGGGCACCCAAGCACCAGCAGTACTTGGGAAAAAAAGCAGAGGGAACGACGAGGATAATGAGAGGGAACAAGGTGAAACTGCAGTTAATGGGCAACATTAAATGGTACAGTACAATTCACATTAGGAATGGAGATAGAAAGAAATTATTCCTAGAGATGGGACATACAAGACTCAGTGGCTGCTTCAGAAGGAAAAAAATATCAGCAGGTTTCCCTTACTAGGAACAGAACAGGCAGAGACCACTATAATTGCCTGATCTCCAAATGCTGCCCTAATAACACATTCAGCAGAAGTAAGGGGTCTTAGAGCTCCATCCCTCTGAAGGACCACACAGTCTCTTACCATTCGTGTCCCTCATCTCCTCTTCTCGTTTCTTCATATAGGCAAAGTCATTAACGATGGACTCTGACAGATCTTCCAGGCGCCTCAATTCTACTTCCAGAGGCTTCAACTTCTCCACTTTCGCAATCTGGAAAACAGAAGCGTCAGGCAATCGCTGAGCTAAATCCAAAAGCTCCCACATGGGTTTTTACTGCTAGCTTGAACCACTCCTTCCTCGTCACATACTACAGATCTGGGGCATCCTTCCCCCAGGGAAACATCTCTACAAGTCAGAAACTACCACTGCAAACACTATCACTTCTCCCATCTGTTTTCTGAAGTGTACTTTCCTACTACCCCTCCTACACAACGGGGGAGCACACTATGCATACAAGCACATTTCTTCCTTATTCAGCCTAACGTTAGCTTATTCACAGCTGGGTTCTGAGGAGTGGGTGGCAAGAAGAGCTTGCCATATGACTAAACCTCCAGTGAATAGAAGTCACAGGCGGAGATATAAGGTGACTAACTTACATACGCATATGATATTGTTCTATAGGCACACGGGATGTTAGCTCCGAGACTCACTCTGCTAACTGTTGCCACACGTCCCAGAAAGCTCAGGCAGCCCGATTCCCAGTAGCAGTGGTTTGACTGCACCAAGGAGAGCTCAGGGCTTTCATCACGTAGCCTGATAAGCCGAAGGGCAGCGTGTGCTCCCGGCAGGGACCGTGCGGCCAGGAAGTGCTCCCTCTGCCTGCGGCCAGCAGGCGGCGCTGCTGGAACACTGGCGGGACGGGCTGCCCGGGAGCCGCCGGGGAAGGGAAGGGGAAGGGGAAG